TGCATTCAACATCAATTCTCTCCATTTTGCATTTTTATGGATATGAATATTTAAAAGTCTTACTCACATAAGTGGATGGGGAGGGAGCCATGTCCTAGCCGTGCTGCTCGGTCCTTTGAATGCCCTCCACGCCATCGGCCAAAGATCACATAGTGATCTAGCGTTACAAATGGTGTTTAATGACTTTTCAGCTGACAACTCAATTAGATTCTTCTAAATTTTTTTGAAAGTAAAAAAATTGGAAACCATGTGACATGCATGAAGAAATTTGCTGTCCAGTTGTGGGATCCTTTCACACACCAGTGTTTCGGATGATTGGAGCTTTCATCTGTTGTTTCATCCGTTGAGCTTTCCAGACCCCGGGACAGTGTATCCAAGTCAGATTCGGGAAGAATCGGAGGCAGGCTGCTGTGCAAGGGAGTAGAGAGAGCAGATTTGACACCCTGACTTCCGGCGTGTTCTCAAGAGGGTCCGTTTTAGGGAAGAGTAGAGAAGGTGAGCATTTGGGAACCAATTCCCTTAAAACTGTCTGCATCTGTGTGTCCTTTGAAAAGACAGTCTAGCCCTGGCCGGTTTGGCTCAGCGGTTAGAGCGTCGGCCCGCGGTCCGGAGAGACCCGGGTTCGGTTCCCGCTAAGGGCACGTACCTCGGCTGCAGTTTGTCCCCAGCCCTGGTTGGTCGTGCGGGTGGCAGCCACTCGATGTGTCCCTTCATGTCGATGTTTCTCTCTCTCTCTCCTTCTTCTCTCTCCCTCCCACTCTATCTGTACAAAAAATGGAAAAATATCCTCGGGTGAGGATAAAAAAAAAAAAAAGATAAGACAGTCTGAAGACCATGGTCCTAAAGGTGACCGTTGTTTCCCACACATGCCATGGTGACCCCCGGCCCTCCATTGACAGGCCCAGGCCTGAACACAGACCTTCTGTGTGTTACCGGAGAATGGCTCGGGTGGAAATCCTCCATTGCTAGCGGGGGTGGGGTTCTTGCAGTATATTGAGAAAAAGAATTTTCTAAGACTTACATGGGAGAAGGAGTAATTTTTCTTTACGTAGTTACATCCCCCAGTTTGCAAAGTCCCATTTCCCTTAGTCCAGTCCTGAAAGAGGGGCAGCTGGGGATTCAGCGGAGCTAGAAGCAGAGCCAGTGTCCAGAGTTTCCATTCTGTTGTGTTGAGTCCCAGGTAGCATCAGGTGCCAGGCTAGTCACAGTCCATTAGTCCATTGTGTGGGCAGATGGAGGACATGGGAGTCCTGCAGGCCAGGAGTCAGGTTCGAGCAGAGAGGAAGAGAGAGCGAGAGAGAGCGAGAGCGAGAGAGAGCGAGCCAGCTCGAGCTCCCCTTGCTCAGGAGTTCAGCTCGGATTTTGTGCCCTTGCAGTACCCATTCCTATTCTGGCCAGTTACCTATTTCCAGGTGTGATTGACAGGCAAGCACCTTCCCACGTCACCCAGACCTTAGTGGCCATGCTTCTAAACTGCCTCTGTCCGGTCCCTTCCCCCACTGATCAGAGGGGAACAGACTGGAGATCCCAAAATTGCAGCTTTCTGGCAAATCGGTATAAAAGGCATGCCTATGTTATCTAGTCTCCCATTTGCTCCTTTCCTGTTAATTAACAGCCAGGTCATTACAGTGGTGTCACATGCACAGGGCCAGGGCCTTTCCTGACCCATATCAGTGACTGCAGTGAGCCTGCTGCAGGAAGAGGGTCTGACTTTTCTTGGCAGTGAGGTTAGGGGGGATCCAACTCCTGGGATATTTTGATCTCTTCTAAAAAGAAGTCTTCCTCTTTCCCCAAATGCAGTGTTAGCTGCTGCTCTGTACCCACGCCCCACGCCCTCGAGGCGCCTGGAGGTGGGGAGCCACTGTGGGGGGATGTGACGGCCCTCGGGAGTCAGGTGGAGGCGCCCAGCCAGAGGGCATTCTGTCATGAGGGTCTGTGCGAGCCCTCCTGCTGTCCCTGGCGGGAACCTGCCGCAGCTGCATCCCCGTGAAGACTTGCTTGTCCTTCCAGTCCTGAGCTGGTCGCCCCCCGTTGTGAAGACGTCCTTGCCTTTCTAAGACAGACATTTTCCCAGGGGCACCACATCCTCAGTCTATACTTGCTGCATTTTGTGAGTATTTATCTTTGTGTTCGGCCCTCCCGTTGGGATGCGTATTCCTCAAAGGCAGGGCTGTGTCTTCACTCACCGGTCCCCTGTGCCGGGAGCGGCCTCGCGTGCGCTGAGGCTGGTGCGTCTGTGCTGAAGGAGGGAGAGATGGAGCAAAAGTATGAGGTGTGAAGTGGACACCACATCGAGTGGCTGTCTGTCTGTCTGTCCTTGACTAGTCGAAGATTTTTCAGTCTCTCAGAGTAACTGAGATGTTAACGATATGAGTGGAATGACTGTGCTCTCAACTGCTCCCTTGACGTGTTGCTGTTAGCAGTGTAAACAGTGGGCCACCCAGCTTGACTCTGGGGCGGCAGCTGGGCTTTCTTAAGTCCCCTTCATGTCCGGGGTCAGCCTTATCTTCAGAGCGATGCTGTTCATTTGTGAAGGAAGAAAGAAGTGTGCGCTTAGCAGGATTGATCAGCCTTGAGGCGCCTGCCCGTGAGGGAAATTGTCTCCGTGGATTGTAAGCGGAGCCGGGACCTGAAAGTAATCATGCCGATGGTGTCACTCTTCTGCTTAAGCTCCTTCCGGTCCTGCTTCCTGGGCTTGGAGCTGGTCAGGAGCCGTCCATCAGCCTGGCGTCCCGGCCCTTCCCGGGCTTGGAGCTGGTCAGGAACCGTCCACCAGCCTGGCGTCCCGGCCCTTCCCGGGCTTGGAGCTGGTCAGGAGCCGTCCACCAGCCTGGCGTCCCGGCCCTTCCCGGGCTTGGAGATGGTCAGGAGCCGTCCACCAGCCTGGCGTCCCGGCCCTTCCCGGGCTTGGAGATGGTCAGGAGCCGTCCACCAGCCTGGCGTCCCGGCCCTTCCCGGGCTTGGAGATGGTCAGGAGCCGTCCACCAGCCTGGCGTCCCGGCCCTTCCCGGGCTTGGAGCTGGTCAGGAGCCGTCCACCAGCCTGGCGTCCCAGCCCTTCCCGGGCTTGGAGATGGTCAGGAGCCGTCCACCAGCCTGGCGTCCCGGCCCTTCCCGGGCTTGGAGGTGGTCAGGAGCCGTCCACCAGCCTGGCGTCCCGGCCCTTCCCGGGCTTGGAGCTGGTCAGGAGCCGTCCACCAGCCTGGCGTCCCAGCCCTTCGTGGCCACCGCTCTGCCTGCCTCCTGCTCCCCGGCCTTTCGGGTGCTCTGCATCCCAGCCCAGCCCATTTACTCCCAGGCTGCCGCTGGCTTCTGCGACTGGTGACCTCTCTGGATGCTCTGCTCGTCTCAGTGCCCCTTACTCCTGAGGACTCCTACATGCAGCCCCTTTGGCCAGCCTTACCTGACGCCCCAGCCCCGCCCTCCCATCGGGACAGGTGCGCCTTTCAGGACACTTCGTAGCATCTCGCCTTCACCCTGTTGTAGTTTTATGATGGTCATGCTTCTCTGTATTTCCAGCCAGACTCCGACCTGCGGGGTGGAGGGGGACAGGGCCTGACGTGAACTGTCTGTGTCGCCGGCACCAAGCCCAAGCAAGCGCACAGCGTGCACCCAGTGGAGGTCTAGCGAATGAGAAGACAGAGTCATCGCTGGTTCAGTGTCCTTGCACCTCTTCCTGTGCCTTCTGATGACCACGGCCTGCGTTGTCCAGATGGCACGTAGCTGGTCCCAGTTGTTTTGATTCAAGTCCTGTGAAATGTCCTTCGGCAGTTTTCGTCTCTTGGGGCCTCATTCGGGAGCAGGGTATTGAGAGTCGCCAGGAAATCGGAGCCTTTTGGCACATTCTGGACACAGGTTTCTAGGGACCCGTTGAGAGCATGTCATTTCATTGCACTTTGAAGGACCTTTTCCCCTGCACGTTGATCAGAGTTGTTCAGTAATTTAGCGGCTCTGTTCTGTTTGTCTGCAGTGCGCCAGCCATTGTATTGGGTGTCAGGGATATAGAGGGTTAAAAAGCGCAGCTTCCCCCCCGAAGGGTCTCACTGTTCAGTCGGAGCAGTCAGAGCTGTGTGGTGCCTCCATCAAAATCGCTTAGGTGTAGACTGAGTTTTGTATTGAGGCCAAGTGAGCTTAATATTTTTAATATTATTAGAAAAATATAACCCTGCATATCATCGAAGTTGCTGTCACATGTCAGAATTCAAGGAACACTTGGTAAGTAGATTAGTGACTGCAGCATTGTTGTAGAAAATTTGGAAAGTTGAGGACAAAGTGGCTTATCATTCCAACATTTCTACATGAGAGTCACTAATTTCTTTGTGGGTACATGTATATTCATATATATTTTGTCTTCAGCCATATGCACACATGTAGTTCAGGTTTTAATTTAAGCATGATGTAGACAGTTTTGTGATTTCTGACTTCTAAAATTTAATATCTTATGGTAAACACTTTCCGAATTGCTGCAATGTTTTATGTAATGCTACTTTTAATGACTGCAGAATATTTCGTCTAGTAATTTATCATAAGCTAATTATAATTTCTCTTAATATCAGACAGTCAGATTGCTTTTGAAGTTTTATTTTTATAGTCTTATTCCAGTTAAAATCTTCATGCCTGTACTGTTTTCTCCTTTTGGATTCTTTCCCTTAATAAACGATTAGAACTGGGAATTGCAGTTGTAGAAATGACTCCTCATTTTTTGCACTGTGACCAGTAATATGTTTGAATACTGTTTTTTTGTTTTTTTTTCATAACACTGCCTGCATTTGGGTATTAGCATTTTTAAAAATCTCTGTTCACTAATTTAATAGCTGAAACGGTATTTCACTGTTTTGGTTTTCTTTACAGAGGAAAAACCAGTGTAACCAAAGCCCTACTCGTTGGTTAAAGTTGCATGTATTAAATTCACTTGCGTCCTGTCTCACTAGCACCTTGTTGAACATGCCGGTACAATACCGCAGGCCGGGTGTCTCACTCTGCTCCTTGCTGTCTCTAAAGCTTTCAGTGGAGGCGCGGAAGGAGATGACTAGCACGGCCATTAAGGCGGTCAAACGTTTCATCGAGAAGCCAAGGAAAAGAAACTCAGAAGAAGACATTCAGGAAGCCGGTGACTCTGAGGTGACCTATGCAGATGCCTTGAGTCATCTGGAGAAATCCCTCGCTCACCTGGAAACCCTGGACCACAGCTTCATTGTTGCTCTGCAGAACAGTGAGCAGGTAATGGACTGAACACTTCTTCTGGAAACTCAATCGCCCAGATAATGTCAGCGTTTTCTTTCATTTATCCTTTAAAGCTACATTAGTAGTTCTAATGGGGTTTTCAGTATTGCAGATACCCTTGGAAATGGTCCTCAAGCTTTTGTCTGTTTTTTTTGGTTAATCCTTACCCTGGGATATTTTTCCATTGAGTTTTAGATAGTGTGGAGGGAGGGAGGGTAGGAGGGAGGGAGAGACGGAGACGAGACGGAGACGGAGAGGGAGAGGGAGATGGAGAGAGGGAGAGGGAGAGGGAGAGGGAGACAGTGACGTGAGAGAGACATGACAGGATTGGTTGCCTCCAGCATGACCACGACCCCAATGACCATGACTCCAACTGGGGGAAGGATTGAACCTGCAACCCAGGTATGTGCCCTTGACTGGGAGTTAAACCGGAGACCCTTTGGTCCGAGAGCCAAACTGGCCAGGGCCTCAAGCCTTTATCTTTAACCTCTTTATTATCACCTGAGAGTCAGTTCAGTTTTCACTTCTTTTAAAAGGATTTCAGGCCACTTTACACAGTTGATAAGCTGGGAGAAAGGAAGGGGGGGCAGGGGAGGGCGTGGTTGCCAGGCTGAGGATGGGACAGGCCTTGGTTGGACAGACACTTCTAGCAGCTGCTGTTCTAACTGAATAGTGATAGGGTTTCCCCTGAATTTTCAGAAAAATTCAGAAATAACCACCCCTGCCTGTACTCAGCCTGTTTTTATGTCCATGTTTTCCATATAACTTTATTATTGGTATGATTTTTTTTTTTTTGCTAGTAAAATTGTTCCCAGTGGGTTTCTAGTTGAGCCCCTGGTGGTCTCAGAAAGCACTCTCGTGAGATGAGACTAGGAGCCCCTGCCTATGACGAGGTCTCTATTTCTAAAAGATGCATTGAAACCTAACCGCAGCAACATTATCACAGTCAAAAATAGCTACTAGCGATTCCTCAGTGCCGTCAGATGGCTGGTTCACAGTCACATGGCTGTTTGGAAAGACAGACGTCATACGTTCAGGACGACCTGTGAACCCTGAAGAGCCTGGAAAGTGTCATTAACAAGAAGCGGCCCTTTCGGGTTTGCTGAAAGCAGTAACTGTCCTATTTCTTCAGTCATTGTTGTCGCGCGAGTTTTCGCGGATGTTATCAAAGAGGGACAGGCAGTGGGTCGTGGGGGCTTGGGGAAGGGCTGTCAGATTCCATCCCTGATTCCCTCGATGGCTAGCTATGTGAGTTTGGGCACATTAACATCTTCAGTTTCCTTTTTGAAATACAAAGTAGAGCAAATGAAAACCCCTTGAGGGATTACTACAAGCATTAAATGAGATAACATACAGGCAATACCTGGGTCTATGTAGCTGATGCTCGATCGATTGTAGCTCTGGCGTGATTGCAGCCCAATGATACTAATAGAGAAATTTGCACCTACTGAGCATTCGTTACCTTGTGCCTCCGTTGTGCTGAGGGACTGACTATATTTTTTAATTCTATTTATTTTTGTAATATATTTTTATTGATTTTTTTAGAGAGAGAGAGAGAAACATCGATGTGAGAGAGAAACATTGATTGCTGCCTCCTGCACACCCCTGCTCGGGATGGAGCCCATAACCAGACACATGCCCTGCCTGGGAATGGAACCGGGGCCTTTCAGTCCATGGGATGATACTCAGTCCACTGAGCCACCCCGGCCGGGCGAGGGACTGACTTTATAGGATCTCAGTGAGTGTCCACAACACCCTCCATTCACAAGATCCTGTTGTCCTCATCTTGGTTTATGGTCTGAGATCAGAGATCACAAAGACCCACTAGTAAGTGGAAAAGCAAAGATTTGCCTTCCAGCCTGGGTGGCCCTGCTTCACAGCCGGTACGTGCTCGTCAGTGTGGTTTGTGCTTGCCCTGTATTTGCTTTGAAAAGCTTCTCAATGCTTCACTATGTACACGTACACATTGAATTTCTATTGGATATTCAGGTGTTGAAGATCACTTTTTTTTTCTCTTCAGGAAATACTACAGAAATACAGTCGCCTCTATGATCTGTCCCGGTCAGAAGAGGGGAAGCTTCATGATCAAGCCGTGGCCATGTGTTTGGACGGTCAGCCTCTAGCGATGATCCAGCAGCTGCTGGCGGTGGCCGTGGGCCCGCCTGACCTCTCGCCCAAGGACATCGTACAGAGCGCGGTCACGAGAGTCGTTTCCGCACTGAGGTAAGCCCGCGGGCCACTGGAGGCCCAGGTGATGTTCTGCCAGCACTGCTTGTTTCATGGCTGTTAGGAACATGAAAGACCAACGTGCATGTAGAAGCATTTCATGAACTGTGAGGTACTGTGAGAGAGAGGGTTAGATTTCCCAAAGTCTCATCTGGAGAAAAGAGAACCATGAACATGTTTCAGCATCGGTATTGTGTGTGATATGTCAAGAAACTAGCTAACATCTGGCTAGGACCCCCCCCCCCCCATTATTCTTGAAACAAGGGAAGGCCAGAAAGGCCTGTGAAACAGCGAATGTCAGGCTGTCGTGGGGCCTCAGGCTGCATTTTCAGATCTCGCCCTTTCTCATTTCCCTCCTCGCAGCCGTGGGAAGAGGGTTCCCAGAGGTTCTAAGAAGTAAAGGCAAGGTTAATCACGTACTGAAGAAGTCAGACTTCCCTAAGTGTCTCAGGACGTTAGGTACCTGCAATGAATGTCAAAAGAAAAACAGCAACTAAAAACCCACAGTGGAGAAATTCTGGCTCTGTATCAGTGTGCTGGTATCTTTATAGGAATGCATCCAAGAGGATTAGAAAAGGGGGGGAAGTTAAGCTAAGAAAATAACGAGGCATCAAGTGCTTTCTGTGAATAATGCAATTAGGCTAAAAGATTTAGTTGTGTTTAATTCTTTCTCCTTTTAAGCATTCTTTGTCATTCTTAAGGCTCTTGAGAACTTTTGGATTAAATGCATGTCAGTCCTCAGCAGCTGAGCTGAAAGCAAATGAGCCTTTATCAGTTTAATTACCCCAGCTTCATACCGTTCCAGGTAATGCTCTGAGGTGTCTGCTGATTTTCTATATAGAGCGAGAAATACAATGTAACCTTTTTTAGAAATAATAAATGCCAAGTTAATAAAGCTTTCTTCTGTTAACATTGGTTGGTGCTGGTTGTAGAACCATGTTCCTTTTAGGTGAGGAGATACTTGTTTGCCACAGTTTGTACCTCTTGATTCATAGTTACTTTTTATTGTGTCTGAAATCAAGGGTTTACAGGAAGCTCACAAAATTAAACATTTGGAACATCCGTGCTTGATGAATTTGGTTTATTTCCCCCAAATTCTACATTTTTGTTAATAGTTAAAATAAAATGATGTGGTATTTTTACGTTTATAAAATTCTGACGTGAACCGTGCGTCTCCTTCCTTTGCTGCACCCAGTGTCACTCCCGCAGATCGGGTCTGGCTCCGATGCAACGGACGTTATCCTGCGCACACTGACGGTGCTCCATAGATGGGAATTAAACATTTCAGCAGTGGAAGGAAAGGGAACACCAGTTCAACTATCTCTTTTTCAAAGGGAGAGAAACTTCTATTGACATTAACCTTGGAGAAAGTTAGTTAAAATGTAGTTGGCCTAAAATAACAAAGGCTTGAAAATAACTGAATCCAGCAGTTGACTTAAATCAGATAACTTAAATTACTCAGAAAACTCATCTGAAGCTTCCCTTTCCTGTCTTGCATTTTCAAAATTCACCGGCGCTTCAAACTCACACATTCGTACAGTGGATATGACATTACCCTGGCTCCCGGGCTGCTGGGACTACGGAGTGGAAGACACTCACCAGGGTCTGATGTCTACTAAGTACCACGAACATAGGAGTATTTTGACAAGAAGGCCTACCGGAGAATTCGGATGGCTATTTACATAGTTAATGTTTAAAATAGTTCATGTATTTAATATCCACTGAATGTATTTTGAACGAGGGAAAGCAGGTAGGTTTTTATATTCTCTTGATAGGAAAACACGAATATGTTAGACTGTGTTTCCTCTGGCAAGAAAGTGTTTTATTGTCCTGACCTTTCACATGGTATAGGGCCAAGTACGTTTGCAGACTGCACGTACCACGGACGGCGATGAGCTGGGCAGAGGGTTGTGCGAACATCCCCCTGGGTTCTCTGAGTGTGGATGCGAAGCTTATGTCTGAGGCTTGAGCACTTCTCTTCGTAATCTTTCCTCTCTTCTTCCCTCACAGCGGAGGCAGCGCTGACCTCGGGGGGCCACGGGACCCACTGCAGGTCCTGGAAGGTGTGGTTGCAGCCGTCCACGCCAGTGTGGACAAGGGGTAAGGCTGGGACAAGTTTGTGATCTCACGTAGTGGCCTTCCTCAGTCTCAGAATTCCTTTCATGTTCATGTGCAGGCAGATTGCAAGACTGAGCCTCGTTTCTAGGCGTTTCTGAAGAAACTAATGAACATTTATTATTCTATGCCAAGACCTTTAAAAAGGTTATTCTCAGCAACTCACTTAATCCTCAGAACAATTCCATTATACAGATGATGTTATATCCATTTTACAGAGTAGGAAGTGAAGCTCCGACTGGTCATGTGACTTGTCCCGGGTCCCAGGTAAGGGCGTGCTCTGGACCTCTCCCACCATAGCCGTCTCCTTCCGACGGCACCGAGCCAGCAGTGGGATGGACGGTGCTGCTCCAAGGTCATCGTGCGTAGGGATCGCCTGATGATCTTATTCAAAGACAGAGTTGACTTGAGTAGGTCTGGGTGGGGCTTGGAAGTCTGCATTTTGTTCTTTTTAAAAAATTAATTTATTGTATAGATTTCAAGTGTACAATTTTATAATGCATTGTCTGTATATTGCCTTGTGTACCCATCACCCAAAGGGCCAAATCTTGCACCCCCATACATTTGGCCGCTTTCCCTTTCCTCCCTGTCCCCCTTCCCTCTGGTAACCACCATCCTGTTGTCTGTGTCGGTGACTGTTTGTTTGTTTGCTTTTCTTGTTTGTTCATTTGTTGCTCTCAGGTTTATATCCCACATAAGAGAGAAATCCTGCGGTTCTTGACTTTTCCTGTCTGACTTACCTTGCTTACTAGCTGGTCCAGGGACTGGGCTTTGGGCAGCAAGGCCTCAGGGCATTACTCCCTCAGCTTTCTCTCCTCTCCACAAGCTTCGCCCGGCCTGGGCCCTTTTAATTAATTAATTTATTTATTTACTTACTTCCTTACTTTCTACCGTTAAAAACATTCCCTAACTGGAATGACCCACAAGGTGAACCAGTACATTAGTGATTCGCAAAAGGACGCACAGGATGCAGTCCATTCAGAAAACTGAAGAAGGAGGAATCCCACTGTGCAGTGTGCAGGTGGGAGGAACGATCTCCTTCCGGACCACGGGCTGTGGCCGGAGTTTGCTTGTGGAAGTTGCTGAGTCACGGCCAGCCTCAGCCCTTAGGCTGCGTGGGTGCCCATGGGCGTCCGATCACTCAGCCCCCCGAGCTCCTTGACGGCGCTTTGGGATTTCACATTATGTTTAAAGCTCAGAAAAGACACAGAGAAAGAAAGGGAGACAAGCCCACTGGAGCAGATTAAATGCAATTTCTTCTTACTCTTCATGCTCTGTGAGGCTACAGAAACCGCCAGGTGTTCTCTAAGGACCCTCGGCGCATGCGCACTGTGCTCTGTGCTGCTGAGCCCCCTGGAAGCCATGGCACCAGCCCGGGGGCGGACCCCTCTCCCCCTGCAGGCCATGCCGGTGACTTCACATTCACCGCTTCTGCCTCGTTGCAGCGAGATGTGCCCGTGCTTTACCGGTCAGGGAACCTCAGGAAGATGCTCTGTGTTGGCAGGCCTTGGCGAGCAGCCACAGTGGTTACGAGTTCTAATCGAAAGCTACGATTGGCGAATGGAATTGTATGCACACCAAGATTACTGCCTTTCCATGAATGTCTCTTTTAATACAATGTGATGATAATCCTTTGAAAAGAATCACACTTTTTACCCAGCGGGGGTGGCTCAGTGGTTGAGCGTCAACCCATGCATCAGGAGGTCACCGGTTCGATTCCCGGTCAGGGCACATGCCCAAGTTGTGGGCCCGATCCCCAGTGGGGGGCATGCAGGAGGTGGCCAGTCGATGTTCTCTCTCATTGATGTTTCTCTCTCTCCCTCTTCCTTCCCCCTCTCTAAGATCAATAAAGAAAAAAAAGAATCAGGCTTTTTATACTACTGGGGTGGCATGAACACATTATGCATTCATTCGTTGCGGTTATTTATTCCGTGCCAGTTGCCTTCGCTGTTTCGTGGCAGCTGAGACGTGCGCTTCGCCCAGCTCCACACCGTGAGCAGTGTGCGCAGAGGGCGGGCAGTTCGCTGCGGGACCGGCCTGTGTGGAGGAGGAGCATGTGTGTCTCCCACTGTGGGCCCCCTTCCCGGCGACCTGCCTGCCCTTCCCTCCCTTCTCCCCGCCAGCCCGCCCCCCCTTTCTTCCTAATCTAGTCCCGCGTATTGCAGATTCTTGAGACGTAAAATTGTATCAAGTCCATATTAGTAATTTGGAGAAGAGTCAGTTTTAAAGTCTTTCTGTTCCACTTTATTATTAGTTCTTTGAAGGCACAGCCCGTATACGTTTTCATCTCTGCGTCGTCACGCACAAGCTTCGGTGATGTTAATGATAATACAGAGATGACCAGGGTGACGATGGTCACTGTTCCAGTGCCTCCTCTCCGCCACATGCTGTGCGAGGGCTCCTCAGACGTTTCCGCGGTTCCACCCGCTCCCCCAAGAGACACACTTTTGGGACCTTTGTCTACTTCACTATAACATGAAAATGACATTCCTGGATTTTGTCTGGAGTTGTTAGGAAAGGGTGGGGCCAGGGGTCACAGGTTCCCTGGGTTCCGAAAAGGCGCTCTTTCTCTCAACCGTACTGACCGTTCACTTTGCGCGGCGGTCGACAGCCAGGGAATGTTTGTGGAGTCTGCTTGTTTTGCATTGGAATTTTGCCATTTCTGATGCATTTTATAAAGGACACTCTGGTGAAACTAACAAATGACTTTGTAAGTTTAGGAAATGCTTATGCTAGTTGTCCACAGCATTTTGAAATTTCTGCTGTTTCTAAATACAAATAATAGATTCTGTTTTTTTAATTTAAATTGCCATAAAATTGTATTAGTAATTACATATACTTAGTGTCATTGTAGAATGTTCTTCTCAGAGATTTAAAAAGATTTCTTGTGGTCTTCTTAGGGCCAGAATTTGGGACTTGGTCTAAGTGATGCTGGAAGGCCATGAGGGTCTGGTTGCAGAAAACCTGCGCGATCCAGTGCTCCTCCTGGGCTCCAGGCCCTGGGGGAGCCAGGCTCCGGTGCCCGACCTCGCCGCAGCCAGCCGTGGTGGCTCATCCACGTCACCCCCAAATAAGTTGTTTTCCCGAGGTGGTCCACTTGGGATTAAAGAGGGGATTCTCATACTGGACAGAAAGTTGTACAAAATATCCTCTTCTCTGAATCCTTTTAAACTACACAGTTCTTTGAAACCCATGTGTTCATATTTTATCTTAGGGTGGTATGAAGTTTGATATTCTAACCCCATGTGGATGTTCTGTTACTGAGAAAAGTGATAGGAAGAACACAGGCTTTGAGGTTTGAACTGTTATTGATGTTTGTGGGCAAATGGTAGTGACTATAGTTAACAGTTCTGTTATGTTTATTTGAAAATTATGATGAGATCTTAATTCTCATCTCAAGGAAAAATTTTAACTATGTTAGGTGATGGATGGTAGCTAAATTTTATCGTGCTGATCATTTTGCAATATGTGCATGGATCAAATTATGTTGGACACCTTAAACTAATACAACGTTATATGTCAAGTATTATCAATAAAAGTGGAAAAAATAAAATAAACTGGAACTTATCTGCTTTGCATAGTTAGTGTCAGTAGTGTTAGTTTATGTAAAGTTACTGGAATGATGCCTGACACTATTAGTGTCATTAAATGAAATAAGCATACTGCTTAAGATACATGAGAAATACAGTAGCTAAGGACATACTGATTAATGATTATTTTGTATCAGCTTTATGGAGCTCAGTCCAATACTGTTTACAAATTACATTCATGTCACATAGTTTTTAAATAGACAGTGTGGTTTGCTCTAAGCTGTTGAAAACCTGACTTTTGGCTTCTCAAGGGCAGAAAGGAAGTCACCCTGCAAACACGCGTGTGAGCCGGCCAGCACGCTTGGTTGCCGGAAGCTAAGAAAGACTTGGGCGTTTCTGTCTCACCGTTGACTTTGTCCTGCAGAGAAGGGCTGGTGTCCCCCGAGGACCTGCTGGAGTGGCTGCGGCCTTTCTGTGCTGACGACGCCCGGCCTGTGAGGCCCCGCCTCCACGCGCTGCAGATCCTGGGACAGTCCTTCCACCTGAGCGAGGAGGACAGCAGGCTGCTCATGCTCTTCAGGACGGAAGCCATCCTCAAAGCCACGTGGCCCCAGAGGCAGGTGAGGGCATCTGCTGGTGATTGGATGTTTTCCCGATGTACAGTCATGAGATGTTGTTTCTTGGTCATTTTGCACTGCCTTCGGGCGAACAGCTTGGTGACACAGGCTCCCAGGGCGTTCATCAGTCTCACTGTTCAGTTGTTCAGTTGTGCAAGAGTGTGTTTTTATTTTTCCATGTGTCTGAATATGCCTGTCAGAGTAGACGTTTCCCTACCTCACATGTGTGTGTCGCTTTTCTCTTCATAAGATGCAGGCAGGATTTTCCCAGTATCAGTTCATTGTGGCAGCTCCCCATTCCCTGGAGAGATGATCGATGGTCTCTCCATCTCTCTCTCTCCTTACCCCTTCCTCTCTCTAAAATCAATAAAGAAAAAATATTAAAAAGTTTTGCAGATGCGGAGGGAAGTGCAGTGTGCAGTTCAGCAGGTACTCACATGCCCTCTCTGGTCTCCGGCACCCAGAGAGAAACAGTGTAGCGACCACACGAGACTCGGTGTCTCCACACCATCCATCCCTCAAGGTTCACTCAGCCCATCTTTTCTCTGGACCCTTCCCTGGCCATTTCAAACATAATTGAACTTTGAATCTCACACATTTGAGCTTTACTGATTTATTATTTTTGATACAATTATTACAAGTTTTGTCTCCCACTGTGATGACACTGAAGCCCTGGAGGACGCCCTCACTGTCGTCTGTGGGCCCCTCTGAAGAAGTCCCGTGCTCCGAGCTTAAGGACTCAGTGACGGACTAGACGGGACGCTGATCCCTGTCAGAGAAATACGATAGCTGTGGAAGTTCGGCTTAAATTCGAAATTGATGTATCCTGAAGATACGGGATCTGAGAGCCAGGAGCCTTGGTCAAGGGCTTCGGGTGCAGCGTAGACCATATGCCGATGAAAGACAGAAGCAGGCTCCCCAGCCCATCTGGTCTGCAGTCGGGCTTCCTGGAAGTCTGACTCCACCCTGAGTTACCTTCTAATGTTAAAGCTTTGCTTTGTAGTTTATATTTATATCCTTGTTAACGCCCTTAAGGGACAATGCTTTTTTTTTTTTTATAAATGAATGAACATATTTTTGAGATTCATCTCCGAGCATCTTCATAATTATTGTCTCATATATTCTTATTTCCCTCCATGAGATAGGTAAACACAATTATCTATTTTTCAGAGTTAGAGAAATTGAGATTCAAAATAGATGGCCTTATCAAAGATTCTCTGATTTCACCAGATTGCTGAGATGGATTGTATTAAAAATTGCTACTATCTGAAGAATGCTCCCTCTGGGCACTGTCACCTTACCAACATACTTAGTCCGTCATTTTCCCTGGATTGTCGAGACCACCACGGCCTTCTAAAGAGTAGACTCTGAACACACACGGATAGGACATAAAACATGTTCCGGGTCCTCGACCTAGTAGACGTTAGTTACAGCAGCGGTTCTCAAGCTGTGGGTCGCGAACCCTTTGGGGGTTGAACGACCCTTTCAGAGGGGTCGCCTAAGACCGTCGGAAAACACGTATTTCTGATGGCGATTCATAACAGTAGCAAAATTACAGTTATGAAGTAGCAAAGAAAATATTGTCATGTGACTGCACATGAGGAGCCGCTCTTAAGGGCCGCAGCGTCAGGGAGAGCCAGGCGTCAGGGAGAGCCACGGCGTCGGGGAGAGCCACGGCGTCGGGGAGAGCCAGGCGTCGGGGAGAGCCAGGCGTCGGGGAGAGCCAGGCGTCAGGGAGAGCCACGGCGTCGGGGCTTGTTTTCGCCAAGTGGAAGTTTGCACAGCATCCCTGAGCTAAGCGCCCAGTCAGGTCAGTCCTTTCTGTCTCGTGGAACTTCAGACTCTGACTCTTCCTGAAGCAAATGCATGTCCCCACAGTTGGTGCTGGCAGAGCACTGTTCTCCAACTCCTCGCCCTCTCCACTCCCTCCTTCCTGATGGCGGACGATGAGCCTGCTTCTCTTGGGGAGCCTCAGCCCCTGCTGTCAGGTCTGCACCCTGAAAACCTGCAGAGAACGTGGGAAGCAGGGAGGGAGCGCACCTCTGACCTGTCACACGGAAGCCCTGGAACGCACACTTCAGCATTCAGAGATACAACATGTCTTCTTTTAAGTGTTTCTCAGTGTCCAGTTACCCTAAGAACAAGTTGCAACTTTGGTATGATTTCAGTGATTTCTGACCTTTTAATTTCTTTATCGCATAACTCTGCAAACCCAGCACGCAGGGCATCTGCGGGCGTCTGGTCCGTGAGCTTTCTAAGCAGGTTTGACTCATTGCACTTGGTGCACACGGTCTTCTCGTGTTCCGAGTCCGTGCGCAGCTCTTGGTGCACACGGTCTTCTCGTGTTCCGAGTCCGTGCGCAGCTCCTGGTGCACACGGTCTTCTTGTGTTCCGAGTCCGTGCGCAGCTCCTGGTACACACCGTCTCCTCATGTTCGAGTCCGTGCGCAGCTCCTGGTGCACACCGTCTCCTCGTGTTCGAGTCCGTGCGCAGCTCCTGGTGCACACCGTCTCCTCGTGTTCCGAGTCCGTGCGCAGCTCCTGGTGCACACCGTCTCCTCATGTTCGAGTCCGTGCGCAGCTCCTGGTGCACACCGTCTCCTCGTGTTCGAGTCCGTGCGCAGCTCCTGGTGCACACCGTCTCCTCGTGTTCGAGTCCGTGCGCAGCTCCTGGTGCACACCGTCTTCTCATGTTCGAGTCCGTGCGCAGCTCCTGGTGCACACCGTCTTCTTGTGTTCGAGTCTGTGCACAGCTCCTCATTCCATCGCTGTTCCTCAGGGGTGCAGACTCTTCCAGACCCTCAGGAGAGCAGCTCTCCAGACCTCTCAACTCTGGTAAAACTCATCTCGTGTCCCCCCATCTTCTATTCCCACGTAAGAATTTCCCTGTTCTTAGCAGCCCATGATCTGAGTTTCTTCAAGCATTTGGTAGTGGAAATAAAACTACCCTACTGCCTTAATTCTGCTGTTCATCTGTGGTCTTCTTGAGGAAGAAGTTAAATCAGTGAGTGTCTTCTCCTCTTCCTCTTTTCAAATGAAGAATTTTATGTCAGGTTGCCATTGGTGATTGAAATCTACTTTCAAGGGCAAGCAAACTTGGTGGGGGACCCTGTCTTAAAATAGTAAATACCACCTGCCACGTGAGGAGTGAATGCAGAAAAATCGTGGCTTCAGGATGGAATAGCAGCAGCTGCTGGATTGCCACAGAACCGTGCCTGCGGTTGAAAATCGAGTTTGTCTCTTTTTATTATTTTTTTTTAATTTATCTTTTTAAAAACGGTGCTACCTTTCACAGAGCAGTGGAAAGGCCAGGGCACTAGTGACCAAACGGTACGCATGCGCCTCCACCCTCCCTCCGCGTTATTTTATAACCTGGAGAAGGTTCTCAGCTGTGAGCCCTGGCTGCCCGGTGTGAAGCGGAGCCTTGAACCCGAGGAGCCAGAGGAGGCTTTGCTCACCTGTCTGTCATTTCTGCCACACACATTCCAGTGTCGTCCTCACCTTCGCATGCCAGACACCAAAAGACCCCAAAAGGTCGATCGGCCAGCTTGTCAGTTTTTCATCTCCCCTCCCCGTCTCCGTTCTCACAGGGAGTATTGAGGATGACGGTGGATGCTTGGCGTAAAGATAAGAGTAGATCATGGTGTTGCAGTGCTCAGTGGCTAGAAAATGAGCGCTGCTGCGGCCGCAGTCCTCTTCGGCAGACTTTGCAAGCGTCAAAGAGGGACTTAATATTTAATTATCCCCGAGGTGCCCAGAGTGGTGGCCCCACAAGTCAGTGTGTTGCTGGGCAACCAGCCAGCTCCTGCAGAATTAACAGCAAGTCTGTGGAGCTGCTACCTCGCTGGTGCCCGGAGAGACAGCAGTTTCTAGTTTCCTCATGATTAGTTAACAGAATTAAAATTTCAGGTGCCCTCATTTCCCATAGTTGGAGAGGCCTTCATTTCCATTCCGGAAGTGTGTCCCAGCTTGGGGGGGGAGGGGAGGGAGAGGCGAACGGAGCATGTGGGGGTGGGGGGTGGGGGGGTCTGTTGTGTTAATCCCCTTGGTACAATTTATCTGAGCTTTTCAGGTTTTGTAATTTTCTAGTTAACTGGTGCATGAAAAATGTGGGTCAACATACTGATGTTTCCTTAAATAAAAACCCATACCCCATCATCTTAGTATATTTTCCTGTGTGTGTTTTTTATTTATTTATTTTTTTATCCTCACTCGACATTTTCCCTTTTTTTGTTCAGATAGAGTGGGAGGGAGAGAGAAACATCGACGTGAAAGGGACACATTGAGTGGCTGCCACCCGCATAACCCAACCAGGGCCGGGGACAAACTGCAACCGAGATACGTGCCCTTAATGGGAACCGAACCCGGGTCTCTCTGGACCACAGGCTGACATAACTGCTGAGCCAAACTGGCCAGGGCTATTTTCCCATGTTTTTATGACAAAAGGGACCTGTAGCTTAGAGTTTTGCCTTGTAAAATGTCAGTGTCTCAGTCAGTTGTAAATGATCACCAGAAAGATTTAGTGTAAGATAAGGTCCAGCCTCATTACAGATTCATTAGTTTGCCTACTTTGAAACAAGCAGAAACATATTTACCCTTCTGGTCAGAGGCCAGTTTGGCGTCATTTGCCAAAAAAAAAAAAAAAAAAAAAAAAAGCAGCTGTCAGAGCTCGAAAAACAGCAGAAAAATTTAGTGTGCAAAGCTATATTTAGTTTCTTTCAAAGAATTTACTGCTACCTTAAATGTCTTCAAAGCTGAGACCCACTGCCGTAAATTATTTGCTTAATCAAATAAAGGATAGTATCTGATGTTTAAAAGGTATGCTCACTCACACCCAGTATATTCCAAATAACCATAGAGTCAGATTTTCAGAACTAAAGACGACTTTCAAAAGCATCCCAGTTCCGTAGTCACATTTTGAGATTTTTTTTTTTTTGTACGTGCCCCTAGCGGGAACCGAACCCGGGACTCTCTGGTCCACAGGCCAACGTTCCAGCCGCTGAG